ATTACTGGTATTTCCATTTTATTTACTATGGTGTATTTCTCTCGGGTTTGTGCGACTTTTAATGGACGACGGAACAACGGAATAAACTAGACATAAGAAACACACTTCGGGTGTCATTGTCTCCTATTACCCCAGATGGAATCGTCTTATTGCAAAGAAACAAGCTCAGGGTTCTCATTGATTTAACGTTCTAGTGAGTTAAAATGTTAAATCACATTATATTCATTTTTTGGTGTAACTATATTTTATCTTGAAAGCATGTTTAAATACAATTAAATTAAAATTATTAAATTAAATCAATCTAAAATATAAACAATTAACATCCCCCTTCAATGGGCCGCGGTAAAATTTCAAACGTTGACCGGTCCGCGGCGATAAAAAGGTTGGGGACTGCTGTCGTACACAACTGCCTTCAAACTGCAGTTGATGTTCTATCTATTAAAATAGAAGCTTTAGTGGCCAAAATTTATAAATATTTCCATATTTACACGGTTCGAGTCACTCAATTAAAAGAGTGACTCGAACCGTGAATATGTAGATGTAGAGTATAAAAATGTTCTTCAACATGGTAACGCCCGTTTTCTTTCGCAACTTCTAGCTATTGACAAAATACTTGAAATTTATGAAGGACTGAAATCTTATTTTATTTCACAAGAACACTGTCTAGTGATGGTAAAATAGTTTTTTTCATAATGATTGTGGTGAAATGTATTTGTGGGTTTATCCAAGGGCAACTCAAATTGCTTAACAAAGCTATCTTGATTATGGAAAGTACAAAAGAGAGTGCAACTGATATTATCAGTAAATTTGGAAAACTAAAAACAAACCTTGAGGAAAGGCGTGATAATAAATTTTTGCTTTAAGAAGAAAAAATAACGTTTTCAGAATACTAAAAAATAATGGAAGTATTAATGTCAATACAATCCTACAAGAGTTTACAGCATTTTATGACAAATGTCTTTCTTATATTAAGCTATGGGTAAACAGTTTTGGTGGAGCAGAATTTTTTTACTTGGATAAACAACAGTAAATTAACATGGTCTGAAATTGGTGAAAAATGGATACAACTTTCAGTCATTTCAAATAAAAGAACATTTCATTGCCCAATCTTGTTCAAATTATAAAAATACATTTTCAGCATGCCAGGCAACATTCATCATTGAGAATATGATATTCATTATTGAGAATACTCTTCCGACTGGTGTCGAAAGAGTATTCTCAATAATGAATATCATATGGTCTGAAGAAAGAGATAGAATTGGCTAAATCGACCGTAAAAGCTTACTACACTGCAAAATTAACAGTGAACTAAATTTCAGTGAATTTTTAATGCCATTAAAAATAACAAAGAATTTTTTAAAAAGTTCACACTAGTGATAAATATTAATAACTTCTTGTATTTTCTAATTTTAATTTGTGAAGAATGATTTATAAAATTCGATTTTATTTTATTATAGGATCCTTAAAAATTAATGATTTTAATATGCTTTTTTTATAAACTATAAATGATNCTGCAGTTGATGTTCTATCTATTAAAATAGAAGCTTTAGTGGCCAAAATTTATAAATATTTCCATATTTACACGGTTCGAGTCACTCAATTAAAAGAGTGACTCGAACCGTGAATATGTAGATGTAGAGTATAAAAATGTTCTTCAACATGGTAACGCCCGTTTTCTTTCGCAACTTCTAGCTATTGACAAAATACTTGAAATTTATGAAGGACTGAAATCTTATTTTATTTCACAAGAACACTGTCTAGTGATGGTAAAATAGTTTTTTTCATAATGATTGTGGTGAAATGTATTTGTGGGTTTATCCAAGGGCAACTCAAATTGCTTAACAAAGCTATCTTGATTATGGAAAGTACAAAAGAGAGTGCAACTGATATTATCAGTAAATTTGGAAAACTAAAAACAAACCTTGAGGAAAGGCGTGATAATAAATTTTTGCTTTAAGAAGAAAAAATAACGTTTTCAGAATACTAAAAAATAATGGAAGTATTAATGTCAATACAATCCTACAAGAGTTTACAGCATTTTATGACAAATGTCTTTCTTATATTAAGCTATGGGTAAACAGTTTTGGTGGAGCAGAATTTTTTTACTTGGATAAACAACAGTAAATTAACATGGTCTGAAATTGGTGAAAAATGGATACAACTTTCAGTCATTTCAAATAAAAGAACATTTCATTGCCCAATCTTGTTCAAATTATAAAAATACATTTTCAGCATGCCAGGCAACATTCATCATTGAGAATATGATATTCATTATTGAGAATACTCTTCCGACTGGTGTCGAAAGAGTATTCTCAATAATGAATATCATATGGTCTGAAGAAAGAGATAGAATTGGCTAAATCGACCGTAAAAGCTTACTACACTGCAAAATTAACAGTGAACTAAATTTCAGTGAATTTTTAATGCCATTAAAAATAACAAAGAATTTTTTAAAAAGTTCACACTAGTGATAAATATTAATAACTTCTTGTATTTTCTAATTTTAATTTGTGAAGAATGATTTATAAAATTCGATTTTATTTTATTATAGGATCCTTAAAAATTAATGATTTTAATATGCTTTTTTTATAAACTATAAATGATATTTTACAATAAAAATATCATTTTTATTGTATATAAAATAATAATATATTTTATTATAACTTTAAAGATAGATGTTTATGAGTTTCAGAACTATTCATTTTTTATTATTAGAAATATTTCTAATAATTATTTTCTCAATTAATTATTTAATCTGCAAATTTTTTTATGTAAATAAGCATTTCTATTTCTGAAGCAAATGAAAAATGATGTTTATTTTATAATTACAACAGTAAAATTTTATACATAATTTTAATTAAAATTTTGACCCATTATCTGCACGCACTGAGTATTACTTCCATTGATTTCAAATTAATTTTCAATGCGAGATAAAAAAAAACAGTGCCGGAAGGATAATTTAGCTCTAGTCCATCTAATAAAGGGCTTCAAAATTTAGTTATTTATTAAAAAATATGGTAGTAATGTAATTTTTAGAAGCAGAATACGACCTCCTCATATTTGCAAATGATTCTGATCTCACTTTTCTCAGACTTGCATATTTTATTTTAATTAAATAAATTACGTAGTATAAATCTGTTTTCTCCTTATATTAAATATATATTATTTAAATTAAAAATATAACTAAGGCTTTCTGATGTCAAGAGATGCTCGGGCTAAGTTTCCTTGCCGACGGATTTCGAGAATTCTCTAAATAATCAATTAACAAATTAAATTAAAGTTGTTTATTTAAAGTTTGAAGCTGCGTGTAATATTAAATATTACTTTATAAGTGGACCTTTTCACAGGAGATAGAAAGACCGTTTTGGTCGAGCCCAATACCTACGAGAGCCAAAAAAAACATTTCGAGCTTTATTATTTAAAAATATATAGTTTTATNTAAAAAATACTTTTTTTTGATCTTGAATGGATTATTTTACGATGTATATTTGCGTTTTATTTGGTTTTTTTTATTCTAAAATATGACAATACTTTTGAGTTTTTCGATTAAATATATATATATATACACATATACATACATTTTTTTCTTCGTTTCTTTGGGGTTATCCATTTTGTTTAATACAAAACAGTTCAAAAAATTTATGTTAGTGTAATATTATATTTTCCTCAGAGAACAGAAATACAAATCGATTTTTATAAGCCTGAAAGGCTAGAAAAATGTATTAAATTTCAGTAATAAATTTTGAAAAAAAAATTACTAAATACTTAAAATTTCTGCATACGAATTTATAAAAGAGTTGTTATGAAATGTAAGAGACTCGTGCAAATATACAATGGCCCAAAAGTCATTTAACCACGTTTTGTTTCGTGTTAAATGTGTTTTTCTTTTTCAAAACTGTGGAAAAAAAATTTTTTTAATGTGATTATTTGAATAAAAAAGCAATTTACGTTTCGAAATGGTTAACCGACTTTTTAGCCACCCCATTTATAAGGGAGAAAATTTAATCAAATAACTTTTAGACCATCCTACATAACTTATTTTTGAAAGAAGTAAATTTTAGTTTTTGTAAAGGTAAACTGACTTTTGGGCCACCCTGTATTCTTTGAAGACATCAATTGGCTTTAGAAGCATCTTGTATATTTCAAATACTTTTTAGTTAATATAAAAAAAAATAATCAAAGTCTTTAAATGCAAAATTTACATCTTATTAATGGAAAAAATAAACCCCAAAAATAATTAACATTCCCCACTTTATTAATGGGAAAAATGAACTGCAAAACTCATATATATAGGCCTATATATATATATGCTTAGATAAATTAGAATAATTTAAGAATATTCTTAAAAAAAATATATATATAGGCCTATATGACATAAATTGCATTTAAATCTCAGCATATTAATTATTGCACTTGAAAACATAATCCTATCATCCTTCTAAAATATGTTTCGTGTATTAAAAGCTTTAATTAAATTTTTATAAAATTAATAATAAAAATTAAATAAAATAAATTTCATATCACATTCTTCTTATATTTCTTTATTTCTTGGCATTGGCAATTTTCCATAGAACTCTGTTGTAACATAATTAATATCTTAAGAGTTTTTTTTTAATTTAATATTAAATATTTTTACAATTTAAATAAAGTTTCTAGCTAAATTATTTATTTATTTTTCAATTTAAAACTAAAAAAAAGAAAAGAAGAAGAAGAAGAGTTTCAGCTCCTGTGTAAACTTTTTTTTTTGTAAGTTTTGCTATAAAGTTTAATAGAAGATTTCTAAAACAGGAAGCAAGAAGATTGAATTACTAATACATTAATATAAAATTTAAAGTTAAAAAAACGTTTTTCTTTCAATGTCATGTCTAAAATTCTTCTCCAGCTGTTACGCCTCCTCTGGATCATCAGTGGGGACTATTTACGTGAAGATATTAATAGTGGGCACAGTGCCAACATCCCAAAATTGCAACAGAAATCAGTGACAACACATGGAGTTGAAGGATGTCAAGTAACTTCGATAAAATGTCGTTTGGATGCGTATTTTCACTAATTTATTTGCTAATTAAAGTAATTGGGGTAACAAATTCAGCCGAAACAACAGAATTATGGAATGATGAGAACTTCGCTCGTTTCTCTTGGGATTGTAAACGAATGCCAAATAATGCCAAGTATTCCAAGGAGGATGACGGATTTCAGATTAAAATACACGGAAATCCTGACAGTTATACACCATTAAAGGAGTATACAGGTGAGTAATTTTAATTAAAATTATCCCCATTTAGCTAGTTAGGCTATTCTAATTTTTATTTTTGTTTTCTTCTAAATTTAACTGTTTACTCGAGCTCCCTCTTAAGTAGGTTATGATTTATATCAGTTATAATTAATCTAAAACATACCCTGTAGTGGTTTCAAAGTAAACGAGCATCATATTTTTTAATTAAGTTTAGTAAAAAGCAGAAAAATTCGCTTCTGAAAAGTCAATATTAATGATTTTCTTTTAAAATTTAGAGCAAGTAAACTTATTAAAAGTGTAGTATATGAACTTATCAAGGATAGTTTGTGTGTGAAATATGGAAGTTAGTTAAGTGTTTACTTAAAATTTTATATAATACTTATCATAAAATAAGCTTTATAGGAAATTTTATAGCTTACTTTATTATAAGCTTTATATGGTTTAGCAACTTTATATATGCCTGCATACTTTATATGATAAATTGACAACTATTGTTGATAAATAACAATTGAATAAGATATTATAAAATTATAATACTGTATATAAGAGTAGAACTACTTTTATATATATATTTTTTTAAAATAAATATCAAATTTTTCCACTTATTTTGCAATGCAGTTGGACTATTAAAACAGTGTTAGTTCTCAGTGTTAGATATAATGATTATAATATTATTATATCTATTAATAATAATATAAATTAGCATTTTTAATTAGTAATAAAATAAAATACTCTAAACAGGAGGGCCCTAAAGTCGGTTAACCATTCTAAAGTCTAACTTGCTATTTTATTAAAATACTTTATTATTTACAAATTATGCAAACATTTCTGAAATAAAAAGCACTGTTAACTAACTTTTGAGCTACAGTATATAGTATTTTATCTATTTATTAGTAATATTTTATATGTAATAGTGTATATTTGTTTACTATAATTTACAAACTAAGTACAGAGTAATTATATAAATATAAGAAAGAAAAAATTATAGTAATATGGTAAAAAATATTTATTTTTTTATATAATTAATTTATTAATTAATAATTTAATAAATATTTTTATAATATTAAAAATATCAGCTTAAGTTATGAATAACCTCCTTGTCTTTGTTG